TGCCTCAGCGATGGAAAAGTGGAAAGAAGAAAACAAAACACATTTTATATTAAAAGGGTTCCGTTTAAGTGCAATTTTTCGCGTGTGGTTTCTATTTGGCAAATCGCCGGGACTCTAATTAAAGTCCGTTTGCTATATCATCTCATTTTACAAAGTAAACCAAAAGTTTTCTTTCCTGGTTACAGTTCAATCAACTTCAACCAAAAAATCGAAAAGAAGAAAGAGCGACTATCTACATGCACGTCTTGTAGACCCATTAAAAAAGGGTTTTGAGCAAAAGCATGTCCAATAAAAGCCCAAGTTTCAGTCGAAAACGCATTCTTAAATGGATCTCATTACTATCAGCATGCGCAAGTATTTACTATATTTTTTGTTACTTTTCAGTGCCTGTGCTTGCTATAAGAATTAAGAGCACTTCCACACCTACTTACATTTGAGTGTGCACAACGTTTTAAAAGGAAATTGGGCTATTAACCTAGAATATACTTAACAGCTAGGCTCAGGCATTGTTATTTGATTTACTATAAATCTTAAAATTCTGAAATCTATATGGGGAGCATAATAAGGGTAGGTTGGTTAGAACTACTTGTTAAGCAAAGTTATATGACATAGTGATCTGATCCAACCGTCTTCGACACATGTACTGTCTACAAAAAATATCTCGAAAACATGCCAAGTTTAATCAATATTGTTTTGAAACTGCTGGACTAGTTTGCATAGAAACGGCCAGGGGATAAAAACGGCATCTTACTAAACACACTCAACTTTATAGGTTGTGTTCAAGCTAAACTTGAAAAAGAGTCTGGTTCTAGTCAATTTGGATGCGATAATAATGACAATTAAATAATTATATATATCTATATAAATGTATAGATATATACATATATATTTATATGCATGCTCATATCAAGCTGTCGCATCAATGAGCTGATCATATACATAATATTATTAGCGAATTATTAAATGGAAACCAATCAATCAATCAATCAATATGTATTTGTGTACATGTGTACTTATATATTATATAATATTGTTTAGAGCATGCCGCAATACGCAGTTATTTGTTGCACTGTCTGCATTTTGTTTATTTTCGCCTTGTTTATTTTTGAACACTACTTTGGCTAGACTATGAAGTATTATGGCCCCAAGCGATGGGCAGTGGAGCATGGGCGAATGAGAGGAAAGGGTGGGGAGTATGGGGGGTTGGGGATCGGGGTGCCAGAGTGCTTAGCGCAGCGTCTAAACCCCCAGACAGACCCGAAATGGGGCTTCGCATTTTTTTCTATGTGTTTTTTTTTTTGGTTGGTTGGGGTTTTTTAGGGTAGCGGGTTGGGTTTGCGGGTTTGGGATTCGCTGTTCCATTTTGTCGGTTTGTGAGTTGCATTGTTGTTGTTGCCTGCGAGTGTGTGTGTGTTTGTGTGTGATAGCGACGACCGCAGCGTTCTGACCTATTTACAGTTACATATACAGAGGCATTTACATATTTAGCCGCACATAGTATTTTGTATGTTATATATACATATGTCCACAGACACAGACGTACATACAAACATAATTATGTATATACGTACATTTAATATTTCGCCTTTCATGAAACTTACTGTTGTTATCTGTGAGCGGCTTAATCAACGCAAATGAGGAAACCAACCAGTCAGTCAGTCAGTCAGTCAGTCAGTCAGTCAGTCAGCAGAAGGCAAGCTAAATAAAAAGCGGCCACAGCAACAGGCTGAACAAAAGAAAAGAAAAAAGAAAGCATTACAGCCATCAAAAGCCGCACTGCTCCCTTCCAGCACACCTACTCCGTTCAGACTGTGTGCCAAAAAGGTTATTGTACTTTTTGTGGCTGCCCCATTGAGGGGTGCACGGGGTGCACGGGGTGCACAGTCCGTGAGCAAGGATAAGCAACAACGAACAAATGCAAGAAACAGCTGCAATGGGACACTGCAACATATGAATGTAATATGTAATTCTGTAATTATGTTTAACTGAAATCAATTATGTATGCACAATACGCAGACATACACAGTGTTGAAGGCATATGCATTCAACTTAAAAACCTTTCAATTGATTGCCTTATTTAATTATCGAGTGTCACACTGAAAGTAAGCTGAATATTTAATTATTCACAGGAGACAGCTTTAATTGAATTTCTGTACTTGGATAAGATGTCTAAGGCTGAATTTGCCTTTCAACCATCTTTGTGTTCTGTAATTTAAAATGATGCCTGCTAATTTCTATATATTTATATTTATGTATATATATATATATGTATATCAAACAGTTTATTCCCAATGACCAACTGACTAATTGACACCAAAATTGAAGGTTCAGTTTGACACGTGAGCGCGAAGAAGTTTGAAACCCAAGTCTAAAATTAAGAAAAAAAAAGTCAGCAACAAAAATAGAATGAAAAAAATTATATAATAAATATAAGTGTATTAAAATGAAAACGGGTTCAACATTTATTGCAAGAATTGGGGAAACCCAGAAAAAAATCCCAATCAAAAACTGTTAAGCGTTTGTAGCTTAGTAAAAAGGAAAGTGAAACATTTAGAAGAGGCAGAGAAATAGTGAGAGAAATGAAGGCTTAAGGCTTCAGTCAACAAATTGAAAAAGGTTGTTTACTGTTAGTTTACATACTTCAAAGATCAGAAGCTGCTCCCGCAAATCTTTAAAATATATGTCTAACTTAGTTTAAGATTCAGTCCGCAGATTTAATTTGATTTAGGTTTATTTGGCTCATTTCAAAATAAGAAAAGTTCATCAACCAAATATAGGCACTCAGCTCTTCACATACTAATAATATACATATATATTATATACTGTTGCTTTAATTGGGATACCGATGATTTGATACCCTTACAAAATAAGTTTCAATACATATTAACTTAAAGCATAAAAACCCAAATAAAACTTAAAAGATGTTCAGATGAGGACAAAATGTTCGACCAATATTGAGCAAAGTATGAACAACAAAATACACATTTGAACAGACATGCCACATTTTTGGTAAAGGGAATACCGACGAGCAGATAAACAAATTGCCAATTAAATGAATGAAATGCAAATTGGCCAAATAAAGAAAAAAATTGCAAAGATTTTACTTGGAATTTAAACAACCAACGAAACCAACGAAAAAAACGAATTGAAAAGAAAACATTAAAATTCAAACGAAACAAAATCAATTTAAAGGCGCTTCAATGAACGATGAGCTTCGACGTGCAAATTAAGTGAATAATAAATAAACAAATGCGTATCAATAATACACATGCAGACACAGACACAGACACAAGCACACACACACACAACTATGTGGAGCTGGTCCAGGTAGGGTGCAGTGGTGTGTGTGGGTGTGTTGTGTGTGTGTGTCTTATTTTCGTGTACGTTTAAAGCAGCTTGAAGCAAGGTCAGCCCAGCCATTCCCTAGTGCCTCGTCCCCCCCAATAATTTAAGAGATCCTGATACCACTGCGCATCACTGACAGCGATTAGGCAAACAATATACTTTGCGTCAGCTGGAGGAAGTCTGATTATGGGACAGACAGCGACACAAACAGCCAGAGACAGAGAGAGAGAGAGAGAGGGAGATCTTTTTTATACATAAATGCACTCTTTGTGTTGTCTAACTGTAAACTGGTTTTGCGATCGCATAAGGTTTAACGTGCACTGTAATATGCAGCAGCAGCGGCAACAACACAAGCAGCAAGAGCGGAGCAGCGAACGGAAATCACTTTCCCTACTAAATGCAACGCGAGCGAAGCAACACCAGAAATTACCAGCGATAAAAGCGACGACAGAGCGGGAGAGCGAGAGAGGGAAAAAGGGAGAGCAAGAGCACAACCACTTGCTACACAACACTCACACACACACACACACACATGTGAACTTTCATTTGTCCATGCCAGTTGTTGTTGCTTCGTTTTAGTTGTGCTGTTGTTATTTGTGTTGTGTGATAACAGCGATAGCCAGCGTAGAGGAATTTACAATTGCTGCTGTTTTTTTTTTTAAATAACACGTGCTGGCATATCCCCCACATACACACACACGCACGCACGCATGTTATTTAAGAATGTACATACACACACACATACATTTTTGGCAAGTGCCAAATACTGCAACAGAATTTGATGAAACACACATTGCAACACACACACACACAACTCAAACAAGATCCGAAAACACTCGCATAAACACTCACACAAGTGCACAAGAATCCACACACACACACACACAAATACAACGCGCACGCAAAGTTAAAAACACGCAAGCAATTTGTGTAGTTCAGTGTTGCCCTGTTGCATTTACGTCCATCATTTTACACTATTTAGGGCGTGTGTCATTTTGTTGCTAACACATTAATGTATGTATCCAATTGGTTCAACAATTCTTTGTTTGTACACTTACAAATTCTTGGTCTTGTTGTTCAACCGCTACCTCCGACGCCATTTTACGAATGTGAAACAGTATCGCCGATTCGTTTTCACCACACAAACAGCTGTTCTGTGCACAAAGTTGGCTGCAAACGCTTACTTCAGTCACGTTAAGTTGGCTGCGAACACAAAATGATGGTCGTGGGATCCGTCGATTGTCGTAAGGGCCACAACAAGAGGAGTTTACATATGTTAATCGAAACGCTTTTCTGCAATTCTGCTCAATATTTGCGGTATTTTTTAAATATTTGAATCTTGAGCACAAATTAAAATTGTTTCATATGTCGAAATATCAACATGAATTGTAGAATTGTAAATGTTTATGATAACAGAAAACCTTAATTATTTTGGAAATATGTGTTTTTGAAGTTTGTAGAAAAATAATCTTTGAGAATAATTGCCCTGTAAACTCAGCAATATCTGAACTGAAAATAAACATTAACAACTCTTGTGACGTAGTTGCGACATCAACACCGTCTGCGCAATCTGGTTAATGGTATTTTTTATGCGATATTTCAGTTATCGATAATTCACAGCTGTTTGGCTCACAGCGCGCGCTTCACAGTACATTGAGTCACACGTGCGTTTGAACTGACCGCAACATCAACAGCATTGTGTCGAGTTGCTTCATTTACTTCAGATTTGGTCAAATTGGATCAAAATGGTGAAAAAGAAAATAGATAATCGCATACGCGTTATGATTGAGAATGGCGTCAAACTGGGCCATCGCACCATGTTCATCATCACCGGCGACAAAGCCCGCGATCAGGTGCCCATTCTATATGATATACTGATCAAATCAACTGTGAAGGCGCGTCCCAATGTGCTGTGGTGCTACAAGAACAAGGATGATGCCATCTCCAAGTGAGTCGTAGTTGCTGTTTTCAATCGATTCTTCAATCTCCATGCTCACATTTTACGTGTCCGCAGTCACGGCAAGAAGCGTGCCAAGAAGATCGCCCACGGCAAGGTGGATATGAATGAGGTGGACTTGTTTGATGCGTTCCGTGTGGCAACCACCATACATGGACGCTACTACTCGGAGACGCACGCCATACTAGGTCGCACCTATGGCGTTTGTGTTTTACAGGATTTCGAGGCCCTCACACCTAATCTACTGGCGCGCACCATCGAAACAGTCGAGGGAGGCGGCCTCATTATATTGCTACTAAAGACAATGCAGTCGCTCAAGCAGCTCTTCACCATGAGCATGGACGTGCACATGCGATTTCGCACCGAGGCCCATCAGACGGTCACCTGTCGCTTCAATGAGCGTCTGATCCTATCACTGGCTAACTGCAAGCGCTGCCTGGTGGTCAACGATGATCTCACCGTGCTGCCCCTCAGCTCCAAGACGATCAATGTGGACCCAGTGAATGTATGCGCCCCCCAGTTGATGTCGAGTTACAGTCGAGTGTTGCCAAATTGTTAATTGTTTCATTTCGTTTTGACAGCCGGCGAACATTGACCGATCGGAGAACGAGAGCAGCCTTAAGGAGCTGAAGGAGAGCCTATTAAATGTGCAGCCCGCGGGCGCACTGGTTAATCTATGCAAGACCTATGATCAGGGCAATGCAGTGGCCCAGTTTATTGAGGCGCTGGTCGATAAGCAGCTGAAGCCGCCAATATCTCTTACTGCCGCACGTGGACGCGGTAAATCGGCTGCTTTGGGCCTGTCCATCGCTGCAGCCGTTGCATTTGGCTATGTGAATATTTACGTGACATCGCCGCATCCGGAGAATTTGATAACGCTCTTTGAGTTCGTGCTGAAGGGCTTCGATGGGCTGGAGTATCAGGAGCATGCCGACTATACCATCATTCGCAGCACAAATCCGGACTACAAGAAAGCCATCATTCGGATAAATATAACGCGCAACAGCCGCCAGACCATTCAGTATATAGCGCCCAGCGATACGCATCTGCTGAATGCCGCCGATCTGCTGCTGATCGATGAGGCGGCAGCGATTCCACTGCCACTGGTCAAGAAGATGATCGGTCCGTATCTGATCTTCATGGCCAGTACAATCAATGGCTATGAGGGCACCGGACGTTCGCTAAGCCTGAAGCTCATCTCCCAGCTGCAGAAGGAGAACAATGCCCGTCCACCGCTTAAATTGGACGAGTCTATACGCTATCAGTCCAATGATGATATCGAGCGCTGGTTAATCAATTTGCTCTGCCTGGACGCGAGCACCGTGCCCAACATCAGCTCCGGCTGTCCGACGCCCGATGTCTGCGACCTCTACTATATTGATCGTGATGCACTGTTCTCGTATCACAAGGCCGCCGAGTCCTTTCTGCATCGCATGGTGTACATCTATGTGTCATCGCACTACAAAAACACGCCCAACGATCTGCAAATGATGAGCGATGCGCCCGCCCATCATTTGTTCTGCCTGCTCGGGCCCGTTCAGCGCATGGATCAATTGCCCGAGATTCTTGTTGTTATCCAAGTGGCGCTCGAGGGCCAAATCTCAGCGCAGAGCATCAGCGATTCTCTGGGACGTGGCAAGAAGGCCGCCGGCGATCTGATACCCTGGAACATAGCCGAGCAATACGGCGACCGTGACTTCCCAAAGCTCTCCGGTGTTCGCATTGTGCGCATCGCCACCCATCCCAATTACCAGCGCATGGGCTATGGCAAACGTGCTATCCATTTGCTCAAGGACTATTATGCTCATCGTCATGCCAATCTCGGCGATGCGCCCCTGCCCAACAATCAAGGTGAGCAGCTCAGGCAGGGCAGGGATTACAAGCATAATCATCATTAATTGAAGGAGGCATCTCTGACTCCATGGATATAAATCTGTTTTTTTTTTTTTTTTTTAATTGCAGCTGGCATTGAGGAGGTAGAGGAAGAGGAGATTGGTCTGCTAAAAGAACAGATACGACCACGCAGTCGCATTCCTGTTCTGCTGCAACGTCTGCATGAGCGCCAACCGGAGCCGGTTGATTATATTGGCACCTCCTATGGCCTCACTGTCGACCTGCTCAAGTTCTGGAAGAGCGCCGGCTTTGTGCCCGTCTATCTCAGCCAGAAGGCCAATGAGCTGACCGCAGAACACAGCTGCATCATGCTGCACACACTGGCGACCCCAAGGTCGATAAGGGCGACACCCTGGCTAAGTCTCTACTACAATGACTTCCGACGACGCGTCCTCAAGCTAATGGGCACAACATTTCGCGAATTCGAAACGAAACTCTGCCTGGCTCTGCTCAAGAACAATGCGGTTAAAGGCGGTGATGCTGATGATGCATCCACTGTGCTGAGCAAGCGAACGCTTGATATACACTTTCTGCCGCACGACTTACAGCGGCTGGAGAGCTATGCACGCCAACAGTCCGAGTTTCGTCTGATACTCGATCTGCTGACCGACATTGCTCAGCTGTATTTCCAGGGTCGCATCCTCGGCCTGAAGTTAGATAATGTGCAGAAGGCTGTTCTCCTGGCGCTCGGGGTGCAGGGCAAGACAGTGGACGTACTCGGCTCGGAGCTGAACATGCCGGGCAACCAGCTGCTGGCCAAGTTCTACGATGCGTTGAAGAAGTGCAATCAATGCTTCCGCACGGTGATCGAGCAACACATTCAGGATGGCATGCCGCAGATGGAACAATTGCCGCGTGGCGACCAACTCCAGCCGCTCAACATGTCCCTGCACAATGAGCTGGAGCAGACGGCCCAGAAGCTAAAGAAAAACCAACGCAAGGAACTGAAACGCCTCAAGGCCGAGATGCTCGATGAATACCAAATCAAGGGCAGCGATGAGGATTGGAATCAGGCACTGCAGACCAATGGTGGCGACAAGGGCAGCGGTCTGCTCTCCGTTAAGAGGTAAGGTATCTATCGTCTAGTAAGGGACAGAAATAACACACAAGACATGTGCTTTCTCTCTCTCTCTTTGGTTGCATAGTTCCGAGTAGGAACCAGTGACAAAATATTTTGTTTACTTATTATTAGCTGAAGTTAATCAATTTTTGATTGCAGTGGCATCAAGCGCTTGGATGCACCCGTGGAGCAGGATCGGGATGCTGGTGCACCGCAGACCAAAAAAAAGAAGAATTCTAAAATGAAACGAGGCATGGCCAAATCGCTGATCTAGTTTTTTTTTTGGGCGGGGGGTGTTATTCACTTATGTATATGTATATATGTAGAAATATCTTATGTATTTGTTTTTGAATAAAACGAAAAGGGGGAATTTTGAAATAGACTAAATTTTGATGGTGTCCTTATTGGCCTTTGCCGCCGCAGCGGCCGCTTTGCGTTGATCGCGCAAATCCTGAAAACTGACGCCGGGGTCTTTGTGAGAGTTGCGCGGAAAACGCTTCACCTTGGAGCGCTTGCGGGTGACGGCCACAGTGGTGGGCAGCATGTTGTGCTTCTGCATCAGCTTGAAACGATCTGTGAGCAGGTTACTCTCTGGCTTAACGTTGCGCAGATTGCCGGCCAGATCGTCGGCCATGTTCACGTCCAGATCGGGCGCCTCAAACTTGTGCCGACCCAGACGCTTTGTCTCAAACTTTTTGCGCTCCGCCTTCGATTTGCGGCGCTTCTTCACCTCATTCAGCTCGGCGGCTTCCTCGTTCAGCTCGGCGCGTATCGATTTGATTCTGTGCAGATAGAGGATGCAGGTTGTGGTTGAGTATATGAGCATAGTTTCAGTTGCTGTTTCGGTTTTGCTTACCTAATCAGGTCGGCAGTTTGTTTTTTGAGCGCTTTCTTGGCCTCATGCAGGCGTTGCAGCTCCTTTTGCTTGAGTTCTTTGCTGCGCGCCTGTTTGCTCTTCTTCTTGTTCTCCACGGGCGCATTAATCGGCTGATAGGCATTATCGGTGGCCGCCAGCTGCGCTCGATCGTCATCCTCATCATTATCGGTCTCCGATTGAGGGTCACCATCCGCCTTGATGCCCTCGCTCATTTCTTGGAGGCGACGGCTGTCGCGCTCCTCGGGCGTCACCTTGCTAAACATGCTGGTGGTCACACGCTTGAGATGCTGCTCCTTCTTGATAATGCCCTCCTCGCGATCAACAACCTGCGCCAGCAAATCCAGATGCGCCTTCAGCGATGGATTGTAGCTCATGCCAGGATGCGGCGCTTCAAACTTTCTGCGACAACAACAAACATAACATAAACATTACAATGCCAAAATAAAATTGGGCATTAGTTAATTTCTTACTTGGCCTTGGTGGTTTTGTGGTGCAGGCTGGCGTGCGTTTTGACCACCTTGCGGCCCACGTTGCCCGCAATGTGCACGGCCAGATCGCGACTGATCCATCCCTTCTTGTCCTTGAGGCCGGGTATATTGTCGCGAAAGTCCTCCTCCTGCCAAATGTCCTTGTCAATTTTGCTGGTCTTCTTTCCGCTCTCTCGCGCTGCCAAACGTTGATCCAACTTCTCGTAGTAGAGACCCCGATCTCGGTTAGCCTGGCGATGACGCCCCTTGGTCGGACTGCACACCTCTAGCTCGATATTCCGTCCATTTTTCATGGGTCGCACATGATTGCTGTTGCAGCAAAGAAACAAAAAATGACATGAACAGATATATGATTAATCAATTTCCCCAGATATTACAATTAAAATCAGTATTAAAATGAATTAGGTGCTTCAGATCTAACAGTTCTTTGAGAACAAATAACAACAAAATTGAGCACTTACTGATGCTCGAGATCTCTAGATTTTGATTCTACAAGCAGGCATGAATTAAATCGATGCAACTGTGCAATATATCTATGTTTGATTAAGTCTCCTTGCACAAATTGAGTATGCCCCATTGTAGCAGAATCATTGAGAGAATCCGTTGCTTACCGCTTGACAATGGGATCCTGCACCTTGGATGTGTTCTCCAGCGCCTGGTGACTGCGCATGGGCTTGAGCGCGTTCAGTTTGCGCTTCTGCTTGACTGTCTGCACGCTGGGAGCACTTTTTTCCGGCGAGGAATCCACCATGAACAGATCCTCATTTTGTTTGTCTGTGAAGGTGCTGAAAGTAGCAGAATCCCCAAGAAGTGAAGCGTGTTTTGTTTACAAATCGCAGAACAGAGACAATTGGCTTACCCAACGCGCTCCTCCTGGCGTTGATCCTCTAGAAACTGTTCGACATCTTCGATGTCTGTTTTGCGCCAGGCAGATTTGTTTTTCTTCGAAATATGCTTTCTTTTCATCGTCGAGTCCTGCGCAGCCATGGCGCAACAAATTGCTGATTTCAACGAAAACAAAATTCAACTCAGTTCAGTTTCAACACGTGCAATCTGCAAGCATTACACAGCACTGAACTCAAGTTGCGGTTTGGTCCGGTATTTGCCGACACTAAACTCAGTGCTGTAAAGTAGCTGTCTGCAAAACAGCTGTGTGCAATGTAATAATTGCAGAATAATACACATGTCTTGTTGCCCAACACTGACTACATACTATCTCAATGTGATGACGGTCAATCAGCTGTGACCTGAGCCTCACACAAAAGTAATCGCACGCGCGTATGCACATCATATATACATGTACATATATATATATATATATACATATAGCATACCCATACACTAAACGCCTTGTTGTCATCTTCCTGCATTTAGGGGACAATTTCTTGGCGGTGAATTTGAAGTGTATTGTTTGTGTAACAAAGCGCAAGTTAAATTGACGCGTGCCTTTCAAAAACAGTACAGTACTTCGCCCAGATTTAACCACGTCAGACATATTGCTGACACAGAGAACAAATAGTGGTTTCGGTGGGTATACTTGACGTGTGCTTAACTCAAAGCAATTCAAAGTAAATGATAAAAATCAAATCAGCTTGCATCAATGAATGAAAAAAAAAAATAATGCTTTGATTTAATTAGCTAATTTAATTCTACACAGGTCTAGTCCCATTAGTGAAGATGAGCGAGCCAACATTTGCAGACATCTCCGCCAAATTCAACGTGAATACTCTGGATGAGATCATCCAGAATGCAGGCGGCACCAAACATACCTCCTATAAGTTTGGTGAGGGCGGCAAGAAGGGTGACTCGTACTTGAGTCGCGTGTTCCGCCTGTGCGTCTACGGCATTAAAGAGCCCGAGAGCAAAGAGCTGGAGGTCAATGTCATTATCAAGGGCATGCCGGCTAATTTGCATCGGCGTCGTCTCTTTCGCTCCACGGACTTCTTCCGCAACGAGATTCACTTCTACACAAAGGTCATACCAGCGATCGAGGCATTCCAAAACTCGCGTAAACCTAAGCCAACTAAACCCTTCGTGGAGTATCCCAAGTGCTATGCGTCCTTGTGCGATGGCATCAATGATTTCATAGCGCTGGAGGATGTCGGCTTCCGTGGCTATCGGTCGCCCAATCGGTAAGTGAATGGATTTCAGCTGTCCACAAATTATAAGGATTTGATTTCATTATTATGGTTTTTTTTTTATCTTAAAGTCTTTGAATATAAAAAGAGTTGAATCAAAATTATTAAGTTTATAATCCATTTAAATATTGATCCCAACTTGAAATTACTGTGATCTATGATAGTTACTCCAAAAATGTTTCACTTTTAGCCAGAGCTACATCTCGCTGGAGGATGCGCTGCTGACGATGCGTACAATGGGTCGATATCATGGCGTTGCATTGGCTTTTAGGGCGTTGGATGCAGCCAACTTTGAGAAGGCTTCTGGCGCTCTGGAGGAGACCTATTATGGGGAGCACACGCGCGAGTGGTATCAGGATTTTCTGGTGCTCGCCCAGAAGGTAGCCATCGATGCTGTGGCCAAGACGTATCCCAACACCAAGTACGAGACGCTGGCGAACAATTTTTTGCAGCCGCAGTTGTTCGATGATATGATCAATCTGGTGTCCACTCGCTCCAAGCTGAGTGTCTTTGGGCATGGTGACTGCTGGACACCAAATTTCCTAACGCGCTACAGCGAGTCGGGGGTACCGCAGGAGATCATCATCATTGACTACCAGCTGGCCCGTTGCGCATCCGTTGTGCTGGATATCACTTTCTTTATTTACTCCTGCACCAGTCAGGAGCTGCGCGAGACTCACTACGATGATCTGCTCCGCGCCTATTTGGAGAGCGCTCAGGCGCTCATCAGCGATCTGGGCGGCGATGCTGAGTCGATAATTTCTTGGCAATCGCTGCAGGACGAGCTGATGCAGTTTGGTCGTTTCGGTTGCGGCATGGGCATCGAATCGCTGCCCATGTCCCTCATCGAGGACGAAGAGGTGCCCGATCTGGATGCCATTGTCGAGAATGCTGTGCTCACGGATGTCTGGAACATTACGCCCTTCGAGCAGCCCGCCAAACAGCAGCGCATTGCCGAGATGTTTAAGCATGCTATCGACCAGGGCTACCTCAAGTAATTGCAGTTCGGCTCCAACTCCTACAACTACACCCATTTGTGCAGCAATTCACCACCAGATCAAATATTGACGCTAGCCATAGAAACTCAAGTACTCACATTTTTATACCATAGTAATTTACATATTTGCATATAAACCAATAAATATTTGGACAACTCTATTTCACAGTTGTCTGTTATTATGTAAATATATACATATGTTCTTATTTGAAAATCGTATTCCATATTAAAATCACATTAAGCAGTTTAATATATAAGTGCATATACATATATATATGTATTTAGTAAAAGTAAGTGGTGCATATCTTTATATATATATATACGTTTGAAGAAGAGGAACTGATGAATTTTGACTCAGTTAACCAGAATATTGGTTAGGGCGGTTCCAATTTATAATATTATATAAAGCAAATCTGATTTAATGCAGTAATTATATGTGTTGTGCCAGCCTATATGTATGCTGCCAATGATGATTATAACCGTATTTCGAAATTGTGGTAGCCACCTGGAAATAATTGTGATTTTCAACATTTTTTTTTTGCATAGTGCTCAATCGGACAATATAAATATCTATTATTGAATTATTAATCGTACAATGTTATACCAGCAGAGTATGAAAAAAATAAATAAAAGTAAGTGGTGCATATCTTTAGGCAGGATATTGTTTAAACCCGAACTCACATGATATTGCCTCCAGTTAAATACCACGAAACCTTTGCAAGCACCTAGGTTAAGAGAGAAGTGAGAAAACCAATGCGAACGAACAGTGAATGCCTGGCATCGCAGTGAAATTGTGAGAGGCAATCCACCATAAACAGTAAGCCGCTCTCTCTCTCTCTCTGGCTCTTTTACTCACGATCTACAATGAGAGACCTCGCTAGAGTTGCCGTAGTAACAAACTTTTTTATATAGTTTTATCTTACTTAATATTTTATACTTAGTAATATTATATATATTTTGGAAAATAAATCAATAATGTAGCTTATTATAGTGACATCTACCACTGACAAGTAAGGCCTTTGGTTATGTTTTAATTCTTGTAAAGATTGTTGGATTTAAGTATTGTTATTGTTAAGTATCATATTTGCATGAATATTTGTAATGCTTTTCAAAAGTAAAAAACCCAAATAAAAACGCGAAAAACAATAGGATGATACAAGAATCGATTGTCCAATCGGAATTATACATTTTTGTGAATCTTTATATAGATTTCAGCTATTTACACTTTGAGGAGATGCTGGTTGGGCAACACTGGCGTGCGCCGTCGCTTAAGCACGAGCGTTGCTGGCGTTGCATGCCTCAGTCTCTCCACGCACGCGACGAGGTGCGGATTATCGCTGCGATCGTCGTTCGTTCCAAGTGGTTCTGAACATAAAAAAACCTAGCATAAAGAAACGTATTTAATTTTTTTAATTTTTTTTTACAATATTTTGTATAATCACATGTGGAAAACGCGACGGCACTCGAAACATTGCCATTGCCATGTCTGGTTGTATACTTACCTAGATGCATATATACATATATAGTACGACTAAATACACACACAAACGTACAAATATCTAGCTCTGCATATATTGAGGATTATATTCTCTATACGATTGAGTTGTGATTCGCGAGTATCTTAATGTTTTTTTTTTGTATTGTTATTGCACTCAACACGATCCACAGAAAATAAAGTGCTAACGATATGCAAACGAAAAGTTTTATAAATTGTGCTTGCATTGCGACTAATTGATTGATTAATGATTGATTGATGTATGATCGATTGATCGGAGTGTAACAGCATCAACTCGTAAATTGAAGAGTCACCAAGTAAAATACGCATGCAACAAATTAAAAAATAAATAAATAATCAACGCAGAGATCAACCTCAACAACATAAATATATGCATATAAATATTTATATAATAAAAAATTAATAATAACAAGAAACCGCAAACAAACGAGCGAAAAAGAAATAACGAAAAAAGTGAGTGATTTATTTAATACACAGTTATGTACGAATAAATATCTATATATCTATACACATATAAGGTATCTGTATATATATATATGTATATGGAGGCAGGCGGCAGATCATGTTCATATTTTGCCATATACAGACGGACAGACCGTACAACACAAGGGGTTGGCGGGGGTGTTTCACAGCCGAACTCATTAGCAACAGTTATGGTTATGCCCTGTTTCGGAAGCAGCCCGACGACAGTTGCCGTTGGACGATCATCATGATGCTGATCATTCCTCTCTCTCTCTCTCTATTTCCCTCTCTCCCTCTCTCTACCTCTACCGTCTCGTTCCCGGTACTTTTCAGTGTGTGTGTGTGTGTGCTTTTCAGGCGGCACAGGGGGGTCAGCAGCAGCGACTCTGGCTTCGGACTGGGGCTGAAGACTGAGGCTGGGTCTGCAGCCAAAATGGAATGGAATTAAATTAAATCAAATGATAAAAAATATAAATCGAGTGTAGAAACAGTGGCAGCCCTCTGTGCCAGCCGTCCAAAGTCGCGCAAAAAAAAGCCATACACACAAAGACACACACACACACACACACACACACACACATACAAAAAACAAAAACAAATGAGAATCGGAATCAGAATCAGAATCATAATCGGAATCTGAATGAGAAATCCCCACAATCCGACAACTGACAAACTGTTCTTGTTGCCCTGATGCACTGACATTAGGGGGCACAGTACGAATACGAATACAAATACGAATACGAATACGCATACAAACACGAATCCAAATACAAACACAACACACAAATGCGAGTAGACTCGTAAACGCACAAGACTAATGGATATGCTAGCCGTACACTCGTACTATTAACGTGCACACATGCCATAAAAACCCGGGAGCGGAAGGAAAATGCCAAAGGGTAAAACAGCAGCAGACCCTAGAGTCGCTAGGGAGTTCGGTTCGGTTCGGTTCGGTTCTGTACTATTCTGTTTTGTTATTTTCTCTGTTGTCGGCACTTGTTACTTCTGTTGCTCCTGCAACTGGTTCTCATTATCCATAAATAAATAGGAAAAATTCAAATACATTGAACTCTTCCATTGTTACCATTGCTTACATAATGAGCGACGACCCTCCAATTTCTAAATGTCAAAAATCTGTCTGCCACAGTGCGGTGTAAAAATAAGTTGCATGCCCTCAAATCTGCATCCGTATCCATATCCATATCCGTATCCGTATCCGTATCTACACTCGTATTTGAATCTGTCAGCGAGCATCTAGTAGGCTTTCAAACTGTATTCGCAAGCCAAACAAAATAATCGCCAATCGATCGCCTGCCATTTGGCATTTGCCAAAATATGCAAACCAGATAAATATAGCCATACATTAGAGTAGATCGAAGACTTTTTGTTTTTATTTTAATTTTATATCTATCGATGATCCATTAATACTATAAGTGTACAAATTTAAAATTGTTGCTTTCTAAAGCGCGATTATTATCATTATTAATTACAAAGTTAGAGAGAGAGAGAGAGAGAGAGAGAGAGAGAGAGAGAGAGAGAAAGAGAAGTTAGAGCTTCACAAAAAAAAATCATTACTAATTCTACTAATAGGTATAGCTTTAAATAACATTTTATTAACTCAAAACAAAGAGTTTGTTAAAATACTAAATACGATTTCTGTTGTTAATTTATATTTTCATAAAACTTCTATTGTTGGACTTTCAAAACAGTTAGAATTGGGGTATTTTCAAAGCCGTTAATTTTTTCGGCTAAATAAACCTTTTGGTCAGTATATATTAGGGAACGTTCAAAGTCAAGTCATAAAAGTTTGATTTTTTTTGCATAACTCATCACTTAACAATAAAGGAGATGAAAAAAATTGTTTTCACTACGCTGTAATGTTCATACGATACATATTGGAGTCTGCTGTTCGAATATCTTCAAATCTTTTGTTTGCTTAGGCCAGAGATCAGCAAGTCATCGTGTGGTATTTCCCGTACAGGTCTAAAGCGTAAAGTCATTTAAAAAAGGAATACGTATCTGTAGTTCAAATTAAAATGTGCTTAAAAGTCAAATGATCATCATATCACGATGCATCATCATATCACTCACGTGATTATCATATAAGGCTGTTTTCTCTACAAGATTTCAGCAAAAGTTCTTTCTTTGTATTAGCGTTTTGTGTTAATAAATAATATATTATTGATAATATTTTAAGATCAGCTACGGTTTAATGTAACTCCAATTACTAGCCACATACAAACACAATCTTTAATTTTTTTCTTAGTAATCTACAGCCTGTAGTCGAGTATTTTATTTATAGCTCTCTGTTTATCTAATTTATTTGAAACTTTGATAAATGACTTGCAAATCACTTGGGGGATTTTTATGTCAAGCTTTGCATATTGCAAAACATTTAAATTCCTTAGATAAATTTGAGTAGCTTTAAATAACTTTATATTCGCCATATTGTAAAAGCTGCTAAAAAAAATTAATGGTTGATTTAAAACATCTGTCAGTAGAAGCAAAAATATATTTAAATTGCTTTCATTGTTTATATTCACAATTTTAGTTAGCTGTTATTAACGATAAGTATTCTCAAGTAAATGTTGTAAGCATTCCACTGCAATTTTTGTGCCATCTCCTTAAAAGTTTGTCTGGGGAACTGTATTATTTTTCTAGAATTTTTTTAATGCTTTTGATTTCGTAACGCACTTTAGCAAGCATACCTTAATTACATATAAAAAATATGTATTTTTATCATCGAGTATTTTCTATATCTGTGTGAAACCTGTTCTAATTTGATATGAAATAAGAGGTAATTATTGCACATTTTCAAAAAGTATGAACTGATATGGAGACATTTGTAAATAATTCATAAAAATTATCAGTGTATGAATTATTAGTGGTATTACGAAGTCAACTTCCTTCATCTCAGATACTCAAGGTTGAAGAATATACTTGTTTTGATTGCCGTCCGTTGCAATTGTATATCTAATTTTAGAGTCACTAAACTTGAAAGGTAGAAAGGGTTTTTGACAACCCGATTCAAAGATCGCACCTCTTTCCACAGGTGTTAATCTGTTACTACTTAGGTATCAGAGTATCAAGCAGTCGGTTCAAGCTTAATGAGTTTGTTTATTTTTGCATTTGACACTAAAATTCCAGAGGCACACTTAAAAAACAGAAGCAAACAGACAGACAGACGAATGTCAGACAACTAACTGAAAAGC